TCATTTGTTATATAAAAATATGTATGTCTAAAAATAAACTATATGCTGTCAGGGAACAAGAAGTATGTCGTATATCTCCTTTGTGTACTTTGCTGAACACATGGCAGGTGCTCAAACACTTGCTTAACTGAATTTAAAAATTACACAGCAACTTTATATTCATCCTTAATTATATATTAACCACTGAAATTCTGTTCTATTAGTTAAAAATAAAAACATTCATGTTAGTATAAAGATATTACCTATAAGGATAGCCGTGGTACTTGGAACGAAATATTGAAAGTAGAAAACTGAAGAAGAAGACCACCAGGCCCAATCCCACTAGGCAAATTACTAGAAATAGACAGAAAATACCATTAGTGTCTAAAAATATGCAGAAGAAACCCCAATTGTTCATATTTTTAAATGCATTCAATTACAGTATACTTACATTTAATAGTTCATTGCACATACAGGTACAACAAACCAGATTATCCACAATACAATGTGTTCATTATTTTCCACATTCTTCTCAATGAAAATGTACTATTTGGGGTATGAAAACAACAAAATTGACTGATCTAAGTCTTCTGGAGGTTTTCTTCTTGTATAGAGTTCTTACAAGTACTAACATGCCCCAGAGTGATCAAAACAAACCATGTTATAAACCACAAACAAGATTATTGGCTCTTGCATTATTAAGCATTGGCTATATTAGCAGGAACATTTGCATTGTTAAAATGCTTAATATAATTTTAATCTTTTCAGATGCTAGGCAGTAACTTTAGGTTTTGGTTAGTATCGCCTCAGTGAGAGCATGTTATAGAAAGCAAAGAATAAAAGCTTGAAGAGAGAAAATATGGTCTAAGTGAGAACCAGAGGGGAGGAAACTCCCTCCATGGCAGGTAATAGTGTCAAAATGTTGTCTGTCTTACAAACAAACTGAGGGGCACATGTGAAAGTCAAATGTGCTGTGGTCTAGGTTTTCAATATTCCTCTGTCCCAGGAAAGCTAACAATAGGAAAAGTACTTTATTTTCTCATTTCCTTTTTATTATGATTGAGAAGATTTTACTCTAAAGCAGATGAATAATAAAATATGTTTCTTTTGCACATATATTTTGGATATTTAATTAAACAAGATTCATTGCAATTATTAGTACAATCTAAACATGCTTATAAAATTTAAATATTTAAATATGTTCTGTAAGTAGAAATTAGTGTTAATCTCAAGAAATATCTAAACATCTTTTAAGAACAAATATTTGCACAATACACCTTTTATTTCAGAGAATTTATTTGTAAAATAAAAAAGCTTTAAAAAGATTAAAAACACTAAAGCAGAATAAGGAAAATCAAACAGATCTATATGATTCTATAAGGAAGTATGATTTTTAAAATTTTTTCCAATATATAAATGAAACCTAGTTTAACTGCAGTTCTGGCAATCATGGAGTACACAAGGTGCAGCTTTGTCAAAATATGGTCTGCAAATGTGTCCGTTTTTATGCAACTCTGCAGGAATATCTTCTAAGTTTTCAATATGAATTGTGAAACATCACAAGCATTTAATAGCATCCAAGTGTAGCCTCTGACATTTCATTTCAGACAACACTCATGCAGCTGAACTTCACATGAATATTGGGAGAAAATAAAGCAAAAAATGAGTTTGTTGAATATCATAAAATAAAAAAGTTTTTGAAAATTACAGAATATCCCCATATGACAGACACCAAGACCCAGAGACAGCATAACAACTTTGCGAAGAACAATCTTACTAAACCCATCATGAATTACAAAATGATTTACTCTATACCTTCCCAAATCTGGCATTTTATCTAACACTTCTTTCTTTTCCTTCCATCTCCTTTTTATTTTTCAAAAGAAGAATAAAGCATTCTTTTCATTCCCTTTGCTCTTTTTAGTAGCTCCCCTGGGTTGTGCTCTATGGGAAATGAGGCTCGAAGAGGCTCGAAATATGTGATCAAGTAAGACAGAAGAAAATTACTTGATCCTATGCAGTGGAACAAAATAATGCTACTCAAGTACTTGTATATGGCAAGGGAGAGGAACTGAGGGTAGTGAGGGGTTAGTAATTACTAAAGGAACCATGGCAGTCACATGAGATACTCCACCTTTGGAAAGAAAATGCTATGGTGAGGCAGATGCATTCTGACCTGGGAAACACTAATCATAGTAGTTGTGCCATATCAAAAACAAAAATCACATCAACAAGGAGTAATTTAAAAGTTTTAAAATGTTTTCCAGCTCGCTCTCATACACACATATGCACACACACAACATGAATAAACAATTTAGGGGTGGGTGGGAGCTGGAGTTAAAGAAACATCTACCAAGAGGGAAGTTGGAAATGGTGATTTAATAAATTCAGTATCATATTACTATAATGAATGTTCTAAGATTTAAAAATTTACTACACATTTCTTACTATTATTTACCTTAAGACAGGATATACAATAAACACATAATTAAGAGGATGTCTTCCACATAGACCAATGGAACAGAATAGAAAACCCAGAAATAAAGCTGCACATTCACAACCATCCAATCTTCAACAAAGCTGACAAAAACAAGCAATGGGGAAAGGACTCCCTATTCAAAAAATGTTGCTGGGATAACTGGCTAGCCATATGCACAAGAATGAAACTTGGCCCCTAACATTCACCATATATATGAAAATTAACTCAAATGTAAGACCTAAAACCTTAAAAATCCTAGAAGAAAACCTAGGAAATGCCCTTCTCAACACTGGCTCCGGCAAAGAATTTTTTTTATGAAGTCTCCAAAAGCAGTTGCAAATAAAAATCGGCAAGTGGGACTGATTAATGAGCCTCAGCAAAACAACAAGACAGAGTAAACAGACAACCTACAGAATGGGAGAAAATTTTTGGTAGCTATGCATCTGACAAACATCTAATATCCAGAATCTACAGGGAACTTAAATCCATGAGCAAAAAACCACCCCATTAAAAAGCAGAAAAAGGACATGAACAGGTATTTCTTAAAAGACATACAAGGGGCCAGTAACCATATGAAAAAATGTTCATTATCACTACTCAGCAGAGAAACGCAACTCAAAACCACAATGAGATACCATCTCACACCAGTCAGAACGGCTATGATTAAAAAGTCAAAAAGCAGATACCGGTGAGGTTGTAGGGAAAAGGGAATGCTTATGTACTGTTGGCGAGAATGTAAATTAGAGCAGCTACTGTGGAAAGCAGTTTCGAGATTTCTCAAAATCTTAAGCACTTAACGTAGTGCTACCATTGGCCCAGCAATCCCCTTACGGGGTATACACCCAAAGGAAAATAAATCATTCCACCAAAAAGGCACATGAACTCTTATGTTTACTGCAGCCCTATGCACAATAGCAAAAAAAAAAAAAAAAAGGAATCAACCCATGTCGATTCCATGGTGCATATATACCACATCCATGATGGACTAGATAAAATGTGGTATATATGCACCATGGAATACTATGCAGCCATAAAGAACAAAATCATGTCCTGTACATCAACATGAATGCAACTGGAGGCTATTATCCTAAGTGAATTAACACAGAAACAGAAAACCAAATACCAAATGTTCTCACTTGAAAGTGGGAGCTAAACACTGCATACATATGAACATAAAGATGAGAAAAGACACGACTAGAGTGGGGATGGAGGGAGGCGCGTGTAGGTTGAAAAATCAATTGTTGCATTCTACGCTCATTATTGGGTGATGGGATCCATACTTAAACTTCAGTATCATCCAAAATACCCATGGAACAAACATATACATATACTCCCAAATCTAAAATAAAAGTTGAAATTATTTAAAAAAATAGTATGTCCTCATAGGGATAATGTCAATCCTAAGGACATGATGTTTATTCAGAAGATACATAAATAAAATTATATTCAACATGATAATGTGCTCATTTCTTTTGTAGTTTAACAGATACCATAGGAAAAGAGGGCCGTCTCAACTGTGTATTACATCAAAAACATTTCAACCCCTAAGACTTTTAAGTATTTAGAAAGCACTATGATTTGTTTATACACATGTCACCCTAGCTAAAAACCCATGAAGTCTGGATTTTTATTTTAAATTTATTAATAAATACTCTTTCAGATACCTATGCTGCTCATATACAAATTTTGGGTTTTAAAGAGTTCAGAAATGCAAATAATAATAAGAAAAACTGATAGGTTTGTGGACATATCAAATCATATAGGGACTTGATATTAATTATAAAAAGGTCTGTGGCAGGAAACAAGCGACTGTCCTTTGCTCCTCAGAGCACATTTTCCCTGTGTGTTCTTCTCTTTTTGCTAGAAAACTCTTTACTTCTCAGTAACCTCATATGTTTTTCTACAACTCGGAGAGAAATGGTTCCATCAAAGAAAAACCACAGAATTAACTTGCTTAAAAACATAATGCTAGAAAACTTGATGGAGCTGTAAATCTTGGTATATCAATGGGAAAGGCAAAGACCCTGGAAGAGATAGTATCAACAGATGCCCTTTAAAAAATGTTAAAGGAAGCTTTGGAACGAATGGAAAGGTAATATATCTCAGTGTACAATACTTATGCAGAAGTTTCATCTAAGTCAGGCTTTGAGTGCACCCCTCACTCTTGTAGCAGAGAGAGTATGTTAGATGACAATAAAATATCTGAAGACTCTGTCCCCAGAATTTTCCATCTCTCTGTGCCGGGTGGAATTACAACAAAGACTATGGCTTCAGCAGGGATGGATTAGAGCACCCTGACGAGGGTGAAGGACAGTTCCACTTTATATGCAATTCCACAGAAAACTACCCCATCCCCTTTTGGAAGAAATATATTTGCAAGTATACGAACACATCCCAGAAACAGAAAAAAGTTAAAATCTTCTTCAAACCACAACATTTATTTAGAAGTTTCTTTACAAAGGGCTTTTATGTATTTCCCATTTGACTTAAATGAATCTTAAGACTAAAACGAAATTACAAAAATGGCAACACAGAGACTTACTCCGTCTTTTTCCAACATCTCCTTTCGAAGTTGCTGCTTCATTTAGAAGAACCATCCCCATGGTGATAGCGGCATCTGCAGTAGTTGTCAAGGAAGCCATAGACATAGATGTGAATAAAATCTGTTAATTTTTCTGGCTCTGAACACAAGGTTCCAGAATGGCTAAATTATAAGTGCACAAAGAGGTAAATAAAATCAATTATCTTTATATAATATAAAATTACCATTCTTTGCGTGAGCAAATATGCCTTAATTTTTAAAAAATTTATAACATGAAAGTTCAATTTGTGATATATTGAGAGGCTAATGCTAAAGGTTCTTAAATTCCAGGATTTTCATAGCACATATAAACTATATGGACTCTCAAAACCAGTTACAACATTTCACATTATACATAAAGATATGCACTGCTTATAGACATGATGACACCTGTCACTGACACATTTCATTTTCATTGTGTGCACACAGCTTTTTCTTCTAAATGTGTTTTTTCATAGATTTTGTTTAGCTGAAATCTTTATGAAGCTCAAGTGTCATGTCACTTGAACATCTGGGGGTATAAAATTAAAAATCTTACACAAGCAAACGAGCATATTATAATAAAACAATTTAATGAATCTAGCAGGACCCTGAGCTAGTCAGCTAACTGATACCTTAAGAATGAGATCACAAAATTACTTTTGTATTTAATACCTGCTTCCAACAGGATGGATATATTCATACTATGTTGAATAATGCCAGAATTAAGAAAATGATGGGAAATTTTCACCTTCATAAAAACATTCTTTGCCATGTTATTACAACATTTTTGACATCATCGACTCTTACGATTTTATAACTCATCAATTCTGAAAACATATTTATTATATATTTTGCCCAAGCGATTAATGGATTAAAAATTGAAGAGAAAAATAAAACAATTCAGGCCAGAACTTCCTCAATTTGCTTAATTTCATTATGATTCCATTGTATTTGTTTCTACTGCTATTTGTGTATAAACAGCATCAATAAATCTCCTGTGCTGGATCTATCAACAGAAGCTCAAAGGATAATATTGGGCAATATACGATCAAGTGGAGGAGGTGAGAGAAAATTCTGCAGAGAACATTTCCTCTCTGAGTCTTGTTTTTATAATCATATTATTGAAATTCTGATTATTTATAATGCTCATATTTGAGTCCGTCTTCATGACCGTATTATCCAACTTCTGGATAATGATAAATGCCTGACTTCTCTATTAAGGCATTTATGCTTCCATGACCTCTCTATACAAACGGTTTTCAAACTATTGTATTTGTTTTAGCATTGGAACTCTTTCTAGGAAAAAGGAAAATAAAGAAAAACCTGTTTGGAAGCGTAACATATACAAGCAAAAAAGCCCCTGCCACCCCTGCACAATGTCAGCCCTCCCCACCACACACATACATACCACAGACTAGCACTAAACTTCTAGAGATCCCTGCTACACAGCTTGAAAAACACCTGACACTTCTATGAAATTCCTGCCTTTCAATCATGTAGCAGTAGCCTGAAAAGAATATTTTAAGAGAATGACTGTTTTGTATTCTTAAAGTATTTTGGACCATCTACTTGTATACCTTACCCTGAATCCATAGACACTGGACATTGTTAAAAACATGATAAAAATTAAAAACTTGTTTCACTAAAACTTTTCATATCAGTTTTCTGGAACAGATAGATGTGACTGATATGGATCCTTAACAAGGAGTTACTGAGTTTCCCCTTTAATCATTTCTTCTGTAATACTTTTTATATTCATGTGTAAATTTTTATCTACACATTTAAATACACATATTTAATAATTCAAATAGAACTGCAGATTATTTTACTATGACTTTTTAGAATTTTTTTTTTTTTAATTTTTAGAGACAAAGAGTTTCACTTTGTAGCCCAGGCTGCAGTGCAGTGGCACAATCTTGACTCACTGCAACCTCTGCCTCCCGGGTTCAAGCAGTTCTCATGCCTCAGCCTCCCAAGTGGCTGGGATCACAGGAGTGCACCACCATGCCTGGATAAATTTACTATTTTAGTAGAGATGGGGTTTTGACATGTTGGCCAGGCTGGTCTTGAACTCCTGGCCTCAAGTGATCTGCCTGCCTGGGTCTCCCAGAGTGCTAGGATTACAGTTGTGAGCCACCGTGCCCAGCTGCTATGACATTTTTAACTATCCAAAACATAAATGGCATTTAAGGTGAATTTATGTGGATATTAAAAGGAAAACATACATTCATCTTATGATTCCATCTGCTAAGCAGCTTCCTCCATTCCATTAATGAATCATGGGGGAAATGGCAGTATTTCTATTACTAGGGAAAATAAAGCCTACAAAATAAAATGTATGACAATTTTAATGGGAGTAAAGCCATATATTAATATGTTCTTACGGTCCAATTTTATACACACATAAATGCACACATACACAAATACATGTATCGGTTCATACACAAAGACATGAACTCAGGGAAAAGTATATTTTACTGGGCATTAACTATGGTCACCCAAATATAACATGTCCCTATAAATGTATCTTCATAACATTTTTCCTACTCTCTCTCCGTATTATTACAAAGTTGAAAACTATCAGTAACATGTTTCTCATTTGAATCGCTTAAATTAAAACAATGTGGTAACAGAAAATTATGTACATTTTCGTAAGAGTATACCATATTTTATTGCTTTATCTTACTGATGGCATTTATTTCCAAATGCTTGCTACTACAAATATTCCTGCAAAGAACATATTTTCACAGGTCTCCTAGTGTATATGCGCGATATATTCTCTATGGTCTACAACGAGAAGTGGAATTTTTGAGAGGTTCAGTAAGTGTATTTTCAAATTTGTTAGGTATAATCATACTGTTCTCTAAAAAGAGCAATGTTCAGGTTTTCTTACATTTCACTAACACAATACTACCCAATTATTGGTTTTATCAAACTGGTAAGGAAAGAGTGGTATCAATAGCTCCTCACTTGGTTCTGAGCATTTTTTGATATGTTCATTCCTCTTTTTTTGGTTTAGTCTTTGGTACACTGTTTTTTTTTTTTTTTTTTTTTTTT